TATGATTTCAGATAACATTTACTTAGTGATGACTATTAATACTACTAATCTGTCAAAGTGGAAGTAGTAGTCAGTCAAGTCTTTGAACAATTTACAGCGCTATTTCACTGACCAAAACTAACTAGAAACTAGTCAAAACAATAACTAAAAATTCATTATCAAAATATTATTATTTATAGGGTATACAAAATATTTTATGTGAGTAAAAAACAAACCAACAAATATCAGAATAATGTTTAACAAAAAAATAAATGCAAAGTGTAGTACAGGAAAAAGATGAATAGAATAGACAAACACAAAGAGATGGGAATAATTAATTAGTTTATGGGATGTTGTGTGTATTTATTACGTGGAAATATTATAAAAACGATCAAATGGGTAATATACAATCAACTGTAATTGGTTGTTACTTTTTACGGAGAAGTTCCGTTAAATGCCAATATTAACAAAACGTCATAATTGTTAGTTTGCTCATTTTCATGAGTATTAAGGAATTTACTTATCTGTTTTTGATGATGACGACGATATATACAAGATAGGTAGATAAATATCCTCTACATATGCTTGAAGATGACAGAGAGAAAAACAAGCAGTGTATACATGAAACACAAAGGTTATGATCACTGTCATTCATGTAAAAATTATCCATGTGTCTGATCATCTTCGACAAAATCAAGTGCTTCACCTTTAGTTACGCATTCAATATGACTAACCTAAAATGAATAACGAAACAAGAGTTATTTTATGGGGAAAATGACACAGATTGAAGAATAAATGTATCGATAAATATTATCAACAATGTCACGGTAACTCAGATTCGCATATCAAGATCTTAAAAACCTGTCTACCAAAACAACCATGAGATGAATTTTCAAACATCTTATTAGGAGTAACAATGGTAGGTGACATTCACCTATCTCAAGAGTAAGACCTGTAATGACCAATGAGAATGAATGATGGTTGGGTTAGGTCCCACAAACTAAATGAAGTTAGAAATGTAGACAATTGTCACCAACTCAATGGTCTAAAAGTAATGGGTCCAGTGAGATACCTGTGAGTTCTAGGTTCAACCTCGGGAGGCGTTAATAGTGTAAAGTACTGAGTAGTTACATCTGAAGATAAAACATCTATCTGGCGCTCCTTCGTTCTTAATATCTCTTCAATTAGGATCAGTCTGTGATGTAAGTCATCTTCAAATAAACGAAGTGACAAGGTCAAAATAGGTACGTCGAACAATAAATAAAATAATGGTTAGAAACTGTACACAGTTCTGTACGTTGTTTTAAGCCGAGATAAGCGAAAACAAAGTTAAACAATCATATCACAAAAAATACATTCACCACGTACTCCCTATAAATGGCTCACCAAGGTAGTACAGTCGACATTAAAACTGTACTATCAAACAGGATATTACATTTGCGTATATTTACAAAGGAATGGAAGATTTTGATATATGACAACCTTTCTTATTCTAAGTGTGCTTAGTTATTAAAATAAAAAAAAGTATAGTTAACTGATATAAACAGTTTATCAGTATTGCGAATTGTCATGAATCCAATACGACCCATTCATTTGGATAAGGCAAATAAACTAAGAGATTTCATGAGCTTGAGTAGTTCGCCCACTTCAATGGAAGAGGTCTTCTTATTATATACTAATTTTGTAATTTATAACAATTTGCTAGATATGAATGAGTATTTGGGAAAGGTGGAACTCTTGAAACTATTCTAGAGTTGGTTAACTACACATATTTTTTATGTGTATTTATTAAATATTTGGCTTATTATATCTTTGCAATGCTCCTATTTTAAGCTTTCATTACACTTAATAACTGTTGATATATGTTTTACGGAAAATTCTTTATGCACTTCATACTAATACTAACTCAGTTTTATATCATATATAATCTAGTTATGCACAAGTTGTAATTCCCTATTTGCGGTAGGTTGCGGTCGTGTAATTAATTTATATAATCATATGGGTTTTTGAATCAAGAAACAACGCCAATAATATAAGGAATATCAATATGCTATCTTCGTGTTTTAATATTAATGGGGATAAGAGAGCTGTGTGGGTCAATAAGCGTTAAGATTACAGATCATTGTTGGTGGCCATCTGTGCTATTGGTCCGATCGACATAAAATGAGCCCCGTCATAAATCGTCTCCATAAGTCGAATGATTGTATTTAGTGGGTTATATGGAGGATTGAATTCATAACAAAATTACTAACACAACTCGACTAATAGTATATTTAAATAATTATAACTAATTGGGATTTTAAAAAAAATTAGAACTGCCTGTTACAAATAATCGACCTAATTAATTTTATCTATCTATCGAGTGAAAAATGACCATCAAAACGAATAACTAGATTAACATTGTAACATTCATTAAACACTAAAGTGAAATTGAGTATAACATCAATATTTTTATAAAATAAATAAAACTTAACAAGCTTGAATAATTTTAAAAAGAGAAAAGCAACAACTGTATTCAGTTGGTCAGTCATCTACAACGTAGGACCAGGCACATATATACATAGATCCAAGTTTTCATGACTCGTTCACACAAAAAGATAAACATTAAATTCATAGAAGCAATTACTTTAATGATAGTACTACACTTACTTTATTACGAAATTTTACACCATAGAATTTTTCAGCTGATTCTAATAATTCAGGTCGAAATGTTGTAGTGATAAATTGTGCTTCCGATTTCAAATCTCTAATCATATCAGCAACAGCTTTACGATATTGTGCATCTAATGCGGCATCAATTTCATCAAACAGATAAAATGGTGCTGGATCACATTTTTGAATGGCAAAGATTAAAGTTAAAGCAACTAGTGATTTTTGTCCACCAGATAATTGATTCATATCGCGCATATCAGCTGAATCACCAGTGAAACTAACACGTATACCAACTCCAATAAATCGTTCAACATCGGGAATAACACTACTATCAGCACCACCATCTTCATCACTACTACCTTCACCTTCTTGCTATTAAGGAGAAGTAACGGAAAAATGTTTTAAAAAACGAAATGAATAACAGTCCATAACAGAGAAAACTTAACAACACTGATTATTCTTCAACAAACAAGCATTTAGTACTGTAAACTTAAGAGGATCTTATCTTACAGACTTTAATATAATATGATATTTATATGCAATCTAACTATATTACTTACAAATAATAATTAATTCATTGAGTAATTTTCTCTCTTGTGGCTTTAAAAAATGGATTCCCTTTCATTGATTAATGTAGTTACTAATTGGTTCATTCATATATATTTCACTATCTGATTGTTTCCGGTTCGTACACGACTTCGAATTCGAGTATGTTATGTAAACCAAGTCAAAAATAACTTCAATTAGACCAGTAAGTACTGGACAGCTGTTCCATTCTGGTATGATACACCTAAATAGGTCCCATCTACGACTCCACAAGACGTTAGACTCAGGATCTTAACAAGCTGATTATGGCTTGGAATGCAAACAATTGGACCCCCAGTCAGGACCTGAAAGTTCACACTAAGCTAGGACGAGACAACCACCTAGTGCTTAATGGTTCCCAATGATTGTCTAACCAAAGTCAATCCGTGATGTGAAACTTGAATTTTACTAAACAAATAACCCAGGTGATGCTGAAGATTAGAAAAACTGACTGAAGGTCAACCTAGATATCATAAGTGGGAATACAGTTATCGATTCAGAAATTAGCTCGAATACTTATTATTGGTGATAAATAAAACAGTTAAGGTCACGAAGCTTAACTACACCAAAATGAGCACTTACACGAACACCTTTTTTCATTACCAATTCTGCACGACCTTCAGGTACAAGTCGTTTGAAAATATCTTGGAAATTTTTAGATACCTTTAATTGTAGAAATAAAAAGTAGCATGTGACAATAACTTATAGTCTGACAAAAAAACTGCCGAAAAAATTATTAACCTCATTACAAAAATATACGTTAACTACGAATACTTATTCAGTATGGTCTTTTTTTACATCACTACGATATAGTGATCCAAATATATTATTTTTACAATCATCTCTTGAAAATCAGAAATTAGGAATTTTGTAAACTCGTGTCACATATATATTGATTGATCATTCAGTAGTGGCTAATTTCATATTTCCCTAGTTCTTAGTGCTAATTGGATCCTATCGACTGATTTCCAATGTGGCCACCAGTCTAAATGAATCGACATTGTGTCCATTAAGTTAGGCAGTTGGAATTAGTCGGTAGGAAATCCTATGCTAGTTGGCACCCATTTGCAAGGCGTATGTGAAACCTTTAGGAGAATGATGCTTCCGCTGAATTCAAACCTAGGTCACCCAGTTTCACAGCTTGATAATTTACCGCCAAGCCGATTACTTCCAACTACCTAACATAAAAAAATTGTTATCGTGAATCGAAAGAAGTATAGGAAAGTATATCCCTGTTTGATAGATGGACCACTCAATGGAACTGTAGTTGTCAATATTACGAGTAATTTATCCTGATAATATCCTTTCTCTTGTTAAACATTAAATTACTTAGATTAACTATTTAATAAATTATAAAACGGATGATATATTGATTCTTCTAAAATGACAGAATGAAATTAACATGAAATAGTAGTTTCATAAAGATTGAAAATCAAACAACCTCACGCGCGTACACAAAAAACACTTGAACGAACCTGTTTAAATGTTAATTGAATAGCTTCATATTTTTGATGATCTAATGCATTCATCAAATCTTTAATCGCTTGACAACCTTTATCTAATTCTTCTTTACGTTTTAATAATTTCTCTTTCTCTTCTGAATGTGATACAAATTGATCTAAAGCCTTTTTATTCACATGACTATAACGTTTTAATTCACGATTAGCTTTATCAAGAAGTTTGAATAGCTTAAATTCAAAGAGAATAAAAATTTATAGGATACAATATTTGAAGATTTTAAAATGGTAAGCAAACTATATATATATATATATATATATATATATGCGAATTCTTGAATTTTCACAATTCAGTTTACTGATTATTCAACGTCATATACAATATCTCACTGCGAACCGAACCTAAAATCTTGAAGTTTCGGTCTCGCAGAAAGTATCTAACATTTGAACCATCGGGTCGGCATCCAGTAGTTTGCATTTTTCCAATGCCATTGGTGGGCAATTGGCTCACAATCGATATGACTGGATTTCATTGATCAAAACTTTGCATTAGAACTAGAAATTTGAAGTACTGTTTCAATGAAATTAAATCAAAGTGAAGTAAATACTTGTTTTCTTTACATTCGAAAATTTTGTGAAGTTTAAACAGTCTAAGCAGTACGAATATATGAAGTAAGGAAAATTATGTTAGTAATCTCTTTTAGAACATTTTGGTCTGAAAACTCTCTTTGCCGAGGTTTTGTTCTTTGAGCTGGATGGTTGATAAGACAAGCTATCAGTCATATGCGAAGAAATTTGAATGGCTCACAGATCTGCCTAAAGTTTGTGTTTATGCCGTTCAGAAGAACAATGAAAGCTTCACAATTAAACTACCCAGCTCAAAAAATGAAACTCCATTTTATCGCCTAAATACTAATCACTTTACATATATAAACGTTTTTATAAAGCTTTTTGGTACTCCACATACATAGGGAATCAAAAAATGTGAGAAAATAAAATATTATTAATATCTCCGATATAGAATAAGCAGTTCAAACAAATTCATTCATGAGATTCATAAGACTTAAAAGCCAACCAAGTATTCTCAATAACTCTCAAACACAAGTGTATATAGTTGTATTGAAGCAGCGGCGCAGTACTTAAGGTGTTCGATTTTCAGCCACTATATAGCAGTTTCGAACCCAAACCCACCTACTTTGGATTCAGCAGTTGGGTATTATCACTAGACTTCATACTTGGAGTGTGCCTTCAATCTAAACACAAGAATTTATAAATAAATAATATAGTTTTAATATCCCAACTAGTAGAAAAATCAGATTTTCTGACGTTTCGTGACTTAGTGTGGGCCACTTCTTCAAAGAATAAATACTTACTTACCTACGCCTGTTACTCCTCGTGAAGGAGCATAGGTCGCTCACCAGCATTCTCCATTCAACCCTATCCTGGGCAATCCTTTCCAGCTCTTTCCAGTTGCTATCCATCCATTTCATATCTGCTTCCGATTCCCGACGTAGCGTGTTCTTCAACATTTCGCTTTTCCGCTTCCTCTCACGATTTTAGGTCAAGGATTGCCTCGTGATGCAGTTTGGTGATTTCCGTAATGTATGTCCTATCCATTTCCATCGTCTTTTCATAATTTCCTCTTCAGCTAGAAGGTGGCTCGTTCTCTCCCACAAAAGGCTGTTGCTGATGGTATCCGGCCAATCGATGTTGAGTATCTTGCGTAGACAGCTATTTATAAGTACTTGTACCTTCTTAATGGTGGTTGTTGTAGTTCTCCAAGTTTCAGGTCTGTACAGTAGAACTGCCTTGACGTTCGTATTGAAGATTCTCACTTTGATATGGGTTGAAAGTTGTTTTGAGTTCCATATGTTCTTCAATTGAAGGAATGTGGCCTTTTGCTTTGCCAATCCTCGCCTTTACGTCTGCGTCTGAACTTCCTTATTCATCGATGATGCTTCCTAGTTATGTGAAGGATTCTACATCTTCCAGAGTTTCGCCATCAAGAGTGATTGGATTGGTGTTCTCCGTGTTGTATTTGAGGACCTTGGTTTTCCCCTTGTGTATGTTGAGGCCTACTGATGCAGAGACTGCTGCTACACTGTCCGTCTTTATCTGTATTTGTTCGTGTGTATGCGATAGAGGAGTAGGTAATCTGCGAAGTCCAAATCGTCTAATTGATTCTGAGCTGTCCATTGTATTCCGTGTTTTCCCTCAGATGTCGAGGTCTTCATAATCCAGTCGACTACCAGAAGAAAGAGGAAGGGTGAGAGTAGACAGCCTTGTCTGACTCCGGTCAAAGAATAAATAACAAATTAAAATTAATCCAAGTTTCAAAATTATCAAATCAAACCTTGGTAATGATACCTACAAACTCATCAATAAGAATTTATGTTTGGTCGGTGAGTTTAATAATAATAATTCGTTAATTATTTAGTTTGATTATCGAATTATTTCATAAATATAAATATATACGTATATACATACTTGTTTCATATTTTTATCTTGAAATTTATCAAATGTATTTGCTGGCAAAGAACCTAAATCGCGAATTTTTTTCATATTTTCTTCTTTCTAGAAATGGAACAGAGTATCAAAACAATGATTCCTTTTTTCCGGAAAAAGAAAATCAAAAAAATTCCCCACTGTTTTAAATAATTAACTTTCATAAGAAACATTTAAAAGGTATGTTAAATCTGGAATATGTGTGAATAGTTGTATTGTCATAGTGATAAGTACAGATGTCGTAAAGAATGATCTTGTTTCATTTTCCGCTATTTATTGAATTAAACTATTATTATTATTCTGCTAATATTGATGATAATTAACTAATTTTTGCGATATAAAACGTTTTAAACTAGATTGTTAAATTGTGAAAATGTAAGTATATACAGATTATAGAAATTGTTTATAATGATGATCAATAATATAATCACAGATCAACTACTATTGTAGTGAACAAGAATCCCAGTGGGGACAATTGAATGTATTTAACACGAAATTACAGGACTCGTTAATAAAATCTAACAATCATAAAGTAAATGCTTAATTTTCAAAATGTCCACCAATTGTCTCAAAATGACTCAGACTTCATTGTTCTTGCATTTTCATACAAATTGCATTCTGTTTCCATTCTTTACTGTTCGATCCTCTTGTCTCTCTGCTGTCAGACCTTCTGTTCACGAATAACATCATACACTACTTATATCAATATAAGTAACTTACTTCTATACAAGACAACGGTTGTTTTCATATGTAACTGAGTGAATTAACTGAGGCTTAATGAAATATCTCAAATGAAATGAACTTCTAAAAAAAATTTTTAAGACAGATATAAAAAGCCATTAAAGAGTGATAGTGTACATTTGTCAACAGTATAGAAAAGGGAAATTAAAAGGAATGTAAAGAAATATTAGAATAAACAAGGTGGAAACTAGGGAAACTAGTTGAAACAAATTAGTAGTGAGAAGATATTCAAGGTATGATTATTTTTAGTTTATCATTGATTATATTGTAAGTATTATATAGTCACGAGTTTTGTGCCACACAATCTTTTACAAACAGATTTGATTTATTCATTATCAAATGTTAATTTATCTAACTTATAATGATTAAATATTGAATTACAAATGAAACAAACTAGCAGAGTACAAATCGATTAATGCATAGATATTATTCAGAAACGCTTAACATTTATATTTATTGTACCATTCTAATCTTACGAAAAATCCGAAGAAATCTGTCTTATCTGTGTCCTCCAGAGATATGTAGCTAACCCCGAGTAATTTCATAAAAAGATACATATAATAACCACTTAATAAAAGAATGCTTATGCAATAAAATGGTCAGAGATCGTTTTTAACAATAATGGTTAACATGAATAATGATGTACATAACAGCAAAGTTTCATAATCAGTAAATTACAATCAAAGTCATCAAAGCAAAAAACAGTGAATAAATTCTAAAAATATGCTTTTTGAAACTTGCTCTGATGCTTTGTCTACAGTATGTGATTAAACTAAGAGAATAGAACATCAAATCAATTGAATGAATAGACGAATGCAGTCGATTGCAATGATCAAGATAAATCATAATTATATATATATATATATATATATATATATATATATATATATATATATATATATATAAAAGAGAGGATAATCTATAAAGGATTTATAAATTAACAAATATCATAATGAAAAGTCTAACAATGAAATGCCGTACATAATCTTCTAACAATTAATCTATGAAATATCACTTTTATTTTTAAGAATAAAGAATGTACAACTTAGTTTAGTTTAACAAGTTCATTTATTGAGAAAATTACTAGAAAGTAGACATATTTTTCAAAAGAAAATCAAAGAAATAAGTCTTAAAACTTCTAGTTAGTTTATCAGAGAATATGAAGAACAACAGTAGATAAATATTATGCATAAGTACTATACATATATTCCGAATAATTGTCATTTTGTCGTCCTATAATTGAACGAAACAATGCTTTAAAAGAAACAGGTTCGGTCTAGGGACTTGTTAAGATTAGTTTAAGCTGGTTTTCATCATGAAATAATATCAACAGGGTAAATATTAATGAAAATCAATGATCGTTAAATAGATATTCTGTTCAATTATGTGGTTTCCTCAGAAGTATCCAACTATAAAGTTGTCAGGAGTTGAAACCAAGATCTTTAGTTTTCAACCGTGTTACATTTAAACCATTAAGTTGAAATCTTATGATCTATATTGAATAGGTTAACTTAATTGTAATATAGTGCAACATAATCTTCACTCTCAACATAGTTGAACTTTACTAATCACAACTTACCATTAAAACTTTGAAGTAAGCCACTAACGAGTTTATGATAAATGTTTTGTTGTACAAACTAGTTGAAATTTAATATTAATCTGTGATAAAAACTAACTTCACTATGGTTAAAATTATTTGACAAGTGAAAATTCCAATTGTAGCAAATACTAATAATGTGAATATACCTTTTTTAACAATTGACTTTGTTTTGACTGCATTTTTTCTAAATTCTGTTGATCATCTTGTATACGTTCAGCGTATTCTTTTTCTTCTTGTTTTTTACGCTCCATTTCTGATTCCAGTTGACGTTGTTCATGTAACAGAGCAGATAAACGTGTTTCCACTTCATCTACTGTACGCTGAGCACCTTCAATAAGGCGTTCAACCTAGACAAACAATGTCAACAGGATAAATAAAAACAAAATATTAAAATGTCTTAATATTATTGACAGTATTTATAAAAAATCATAAGATATACTCTAAAGCTAACCAAAAAATATATATTGAATAAGGTTTTAAAAAAGCAATAGGTATGTTTTAATAATAAACGTTTGCTTTCTGATTAGGGCAACGAGGATAATGTCAGACTTGTATTAGTAGAGAGCATGTATATAAAATGTCACAAGTAGTAAGTAGTGAGTTTGAGTTCTAGTGTAAACATTAAAACTGGCATAAATGTACTTTGAGCTTACGAGTCCTAAATAGTATGAAGTGAGCGTCCTGAATTCTGTTTCTAAAAACTACATAAAATATTATATAATATAGACAATTCAACAGTCAGACTTTTTTCTGTTTGCTCAGAAACTTGCCCCAATATCACTTAAACTAGCAGCTAGATAATGGTCTCTTTACAATGATATTGTGGCTTGATTCGACCATTAAGTGGTTAATCTAAGCATAGGTATTCATCAAGTAAGTTGTTAAGATTATTATCTATTGGTTTGTCTCCTAATCAAGAAAACCTGGTTTCAATATCTTATTCAATTCTCTCAAATAATCCCACAATATTTATAGAAAGTATTTCGTTAGAATAATTCAGCTGTTCGTATGACTCGTCATTTATTATATCCGAGTCGCAAACCATCGAATCGACGACAAAGATAACAAGAAAACATAGTTTCTGATGCCAGTTACTTCTTGAATGGATTTCATCGACTAGTCTATCATCACATAGAGGACCGTTAGTGGGAGTCTAGTTAATCAATAGTACTTCGATTATGAAGCTAAGGTCAATGCTGCAGTATTTCTAGAAAAAATCAAGATAAACTTTCCGAACCAACAGATGGAGAACAAACTATCAGCACTACATTGAAATCATAAATCTAGATCTACGAAGTATATAAGGCACCAACAGAGACCACAGAATATTACACTCAAATACAACTTTTGAAAATCACTTATTCAGTGAGTTAAGATCACTATTAATAGAGACAATAATAAAGAACATGAAATAATATTAAAAGGAATTTTAATTAGTGACCAAAAAAACAATAAGTTACCTCGCGCAATTCTTCTTCTGATTCAGTTAAACGGTCTTGTAAATCTTGTTCCGAAGCTTCAGCTACCTCAGATTCTAATTGTTCTTGTTTTCTTAATAAATTATGTTCTAGTTGAGTTTCTTTTTCATTCTTTTCGGTTTCTAATGTAATTCTCTTCCTAGGACCGAGGGGAGGGATGAAAAAGAAGAAAATTATTTACCCAACATATTAGAAAAATATAATCAGTAAACTTAAACAGAATATTTCTCTTATTAACTTATCATTAAAATGAAAGTAGACATTATCGTATTCTATATTATTTTAAAGAATGTAGAGTAATAAATCTATACATAATTTTATAGTTAACATGATTTATTGGGAATCATAAATAAGTTCTGGGATGATTCTTTGAATTGCCTTAACAAAAGGGGATTATATTTGTGAGTACGCCGAAACACTGGAGAGTAGCTGAGATTATTGTTGTTACAGAGTCCCAATTAGTTTGTGATTTGGAATCGTTATTCTGAGTTTTCTCCATCCCCATTATTACGTTATTCCTAATCGAAACTTTCTAACCCCTGTACTGTACTCGATCAATCACATATCAAAACAAGAATAGGTTGAAAACAAGAAATATTACAGGGAACTGAAACAACATCGTATCGTGATAGAAACGTCAAAGTTGACATCGAATTTCCATAAGAAACCTCTTGATTCGTTCACTAGAGCTGATTGGTTAAAATAGACTAATCAGAATATTGAGATTTGGGCTTACATTGAGCATTTAATCGTTAGCACTTTATCATGCGAACGTATACTAATCCTAATGAGAAAGAAATCGGTATTGGTTTTTCTACGGGTTCAGACTTTTTGAAACAAAATGCATTCATCTACAATCTGAAATACAATTTCAGGATTCATTATTGTCTAAAGCGAAAATTTAAAAAAAACTCAGAATCAAATAAGGTTGGTTTTAGTGTTTCAAATAGTCAATAGAATGCATAATCACGAATTTTTGGTACAAAGTACAAAACTTCCCAATTATGTTCATAATATACATGCTTCGCTCTTTTTACAGCCCGCTATCATGAAACATGAAATGTTCCACCTAGTGCACCAGCTGCTTTTCTTGACAATAGAAATCACTAATGTAATCCGTTTGAGTCTTTGCAACATTAAGAGGCTACCCAAAACATAAGTATTTATGTATAATCACGATGATAGAGATCTGGCAAATTGCTGCATTTCGAAATTTATGATTAGATCCTCAAAAAAGCCACATTGCATACAAATAAAAACTCACTGACTGAGTAGTGTGCGATGAGAGGAGGAAAAAATAAAATGAAGTAGAACAAAGGTTACTACTACAGAATCAGTACGACCCAGTAATTTGTAATCACTTAGGTGCTTCTAAATTTTCATTGTACACTACTTTCGATGACGTCAGAAATGAATGAAATGAGAATGTCTATATGACAATATTTATTGTAAGAAAACTGCTACGATATCACCCAAAACTGAACGAGTCAGTAATACTACAACAGGACAAGCTAAGCTATTCCAATGCGCCACAGCCCTGTTAACTAGAGGGAGAACACCAGATTTCAGCCGAAGGAAAGGTATATTCCACAAATAGTCGGAAGCATGAACAAACAAGCATACAACTCATGCGCATACATGCAGTACAAAACGGCCCTGGAAACGTCACAAAATAGCGTACTAAGAGAGGAAACGAACCAATGACATTTATGGTCCCTCATAATGGGAAATACAGACTGAAAGTGAAAATGGGGGCTTTTGGCGCGAGAACGAGAGATCTAAATTTCCAAAATAACATTAAAAAAATGAGAATTTTACTAAGCGATTTCTGTGGATCTAGCATCCCCAACAAAAACAAGTGAACAATTTTATTTAATCAAACTAATCAATGTAAAATATGTACACACGTAACTTACTTATAAGCATCTTTAGCTTCTCTGGTTAATTCTTGAATTTTATCATTTAAACGATCAACTTCACGTTGCTCCTGAACTGACAACTGGCTTAATAAATCAGTTCCTAATTCAACCTAGAAGTAAAAAACGAGATTTTCGATTAATTTAAGCTTTTAATCAATAGAATAAACCACACAAATATTCAACTAACCATTTCAAAATGTATGCATGATCCTAGGCAGAAAAGTAAGATTAGATTTCCCTCCCTAAATTCTAAACTTATGAATTCCTGATAACCTTTTTATTTCACGGATTTATATATTTTTTTCTCCAATCGTATCTTCGATGCCTAATCTTTCGTACTACGACTGACACTGTTACTACTTCTACGACTCTGAGATTTACCTTGACAGTTTCATCTTGTTGTATTAATGAAGTACGGCAACTTGAACCGACATAGACATGTACCAGGTTTTTCGTTGCGTTTAGCCGACTGACCAACTCTGACGACATCACTGTGAAAAATGGATTAACTGCTCGAACTCTACCAGCACTATGTACCAGAAAAAATAATACTTGTTACTACTGATCAATGACTGGTACGTGTTGTTAGTATATCACCTTGATCAAAGCTAAATAACAAATCTATTGGTCAAGTTATCAGAATATGTTGATCATATTCCTCTCTATACAAAAACCAACTCTGAGATAAGAACTAAAATACGAAAATAATTTACATATAATATCACTGAGAAAAATCAGATAGATTTCTTGATTCCATATCCTTTAGAAAAGCAAAATTTATCAACATGGAAAAATAACTCAAAAAGTATCAAAGAAAATCCAAATAAAGACTAGTCATTGTTGCTTGAATGGGTAGTTAGCAGCTAGGAGTTATGTCTTACTTCATTTGAATACATTTGCACAATGAGTGAACGAATATGAATTGATTTGAGAAAACGAAAAAAACTGAAAATAAAAGTGCTTTTACATGCTCTCACTCTTATTGACTTATTATTTAGACAAATCAGTATCTAAAACGGTATATTAAAATAATTCAAATAAGTGTTAGGGGTAAAAATTTGGTCACCAAGGTATCAAATAGAAATACATATTCATCTGTAGTAAAACTACAAAAAATAAAAAGCCATAATTTAAATCTCCAATTCATGTTGTGTAAAAATTACATTCTATCCAAAATGTTCTAACCTCTTTCAATACACTTGTGTGTTCAAGTGACACAACAGAAACAAATGAATTCATCACATAAGTACGCTAACATTAGCAAAATGGAATCGAACTAACTTTATAAGATTCCATTGTGTACTTCATCTGATCCAGGTCGTGACGTAAAGATGATAATTTGTACTCTTTCTGTGGTTTAGTTTCTTGTTTGCCACGTAATTCTTCTTTCCACATATGAATATCTTTTTTCAACTTATCAAATGTCATTCTAAAATATATAAAAATGCAACGAATACAGTAAAGGCAGAAAAATAAACTTACAATAAGATTTCATTTTCAAGAAAACAAAACCAATTACATCAATTTCAAAGTGTTTTCTATACGTACGAACTTCAACTGTTCGAATATATTCAGTAAAGTTCCCTAACCTTTTCACTAAAACAGTCAGTAATAACTGTATTTGGTTCCTATAATGAGTTATATCTAGGAGAGCTAAAGGACCAATTGATTTGTACGTTAGAAATTAAATTAATCACCTTATCCTATTCATTTATATCCGCCAATACAGAGATAATTATTTCAGTTGAACTGTTCTTGATAAGTAATAATCGTTTTTTTCTTAATATTTAGTAAGATGAAACTATGAAAACCTGCTTTAATTCATTTCTATTCCAGAATTGAGTAGACTTTTTTGTCTTAATTAGAAATATTAAATTTTGATCCGTTAGCAGTATTTACACGTCCAGAATTCTAACATAATCATCTTTTAGAAAACTATTAGATTACAGTAGATCCAGCATCAACTCAAACATATCGGATGAGTTTGACAGATGGATTACTCTTTCCTCAGTCATTAGCACAGCCATTTGACAACTAACACTGTTGTTCAATTTCAACACTGTATCACAAATGTTTGCGGTGCTTGGTTTTCCTTCATGCATTTACTGCTACACTGAGTTACTTGTGATTATCTGGGATTTTAGTTTGTTTAGGAAGTTAAAGTAAGCAGTCTCTAGATAACTGGTTATTATTATAAATCTTCTCTATAACATGTGCAATGTCATTTGTGCAGTGATAAACCTCGAGATTTGATTTCACCATTCAAACTGTACAGTATTTGGAAGGATATATTTTAATAAATACTATTATTATCTAACCAATTAGTTTCTGAATGATAATATCAATCCAATTTAAAATTGAGATGCATCATAAATACGTAGGTGATAACTAGTCATAATTCTTCCTAACCAGAAACTACACAAGATTTGAGAGGTAATTCACGAATTTATAGCGGGAAACTGTAACCATTTGAGTCCAATGAAATCGGAAAAGCGGCAGTTACCCACCAATTCTATTGATATTTGAGCAACATCAAAAATTGGTCGAAATTAAAAATATAAACCATTGGATTACGACTCAGTGGTCTAAAGATTAAGGGCTCACCAAAATATCTGTAGGTTCTGAGTTCAAAATCCAATTGGGGTAGTGGTTGCGCACTACCAAGGAGTTCTATACCAAGACGAAAAGGCTGTCTGATACTTGTTATTTTTTAATGGTCACCTAACTAAGGTTCACTTCGTAATCCAAACTATAAAACTCGACGATTTCCACAGATTTGTTGCACTAATATGACTCGATTTAATTTTATCAAAACCCTAGGGGTGTATAAATAGACCTGAGATATTAAATGATAATAGAAACCTCTAGCACCTGATAGCTTGCGATAAATGCTTATATACTGAAGGAGTTCTTATAACAAAGCGATAGTAACGAGTTTTTTTAATAATAAATTAGACAAACGTTAAAACTTTACCAAATAACTCATTTATCACATAAGTAGTCCACAAAAAGGTTACGTCTCCATTATTAGACGAATAGCTTTAAAATTATTTTTTATTTCTTTCATCACAAGGCCAAATATTTAAAAAAGTGAAAATTCAGAGACGATTTATTATTGATAAACACCACTGTTTTGTTATTAGGTTTCCGTTATTTATTCGGCAAGGTAGACAAAGGGCAAATGATGTAAACTTGTTCCTATACTATATTATTATTTCCATTTCTTAGGTGCAGAATGAAGGTATACTCCATTTTAATGAACACCTTCAGTCATAAGAGATATTCAAAACGACCTAAGTCTAATTTACCCAAACCTTATCAATGAAATATCGAATAAAATAGTAAAAATAACATCATTAATTTATGTACAAATAAAGACAAGGACTTTTATAAACTCACTCATGTTTTGATCTTACTGTATCCTTACGTTGTACATCGTCAATGATACGGTTAATTTGTGCATCAACTTGTTCTTTACGTTTAGCATTATTCTCACGAACATTTTCTGTCTCTTGAATTTCAATTTCAGTTTTTTGTTTACGTTTCTGTAATTCTAAACGTGATAATCGACTGTCGTAATATCCTCCGGTAAGTGTACCTTTACGTGATACTTGATCACCTGTCAATGTAAAAAAGAAATACACGTTGAGCTTTGACTAGCTTTTTTTCATCATAATAGTTTGTTATTTCAAGTTCTAATAATAACAATAATAATAATAATAATAATAATAATAATAATAATAGCAAGTAATAAAGTTTAATAAAATCAAAAAGGACATGAATATAATGGTCACTAATCTAATTAACAAACGAGTACACAACCGAAAGTTTCAGTTACATCATTAAACATTATAGAAAATGGAAGTTAATAAATTGAATATTCCCATCAAAACATTTATATCTTGAGAATTTTCTTTATTATCTTAAATCTAATAATATTAGACATTATGATATGCATTACATATACACAAAAAATGTAAAGTGAATGATAACATAACTCATTTGTCAAGTACAGATTTATGCACTTGGATTTGATGGCCAAAGCAAAGTAACTCGAACAGAGTTCCAACCTGAAACCTATTGGATGAAATCTAAATGCTTAAACTTTATTTCAAGTAGGGCATTGAGACGAGATTGCTTAATTAATGATTATATATCACGAACTAACTTTATTTAAACGACAACTGAGAACCTGTGAGCAATTGACAGCTCCTTCATCTTCATGTACCGAACTAACTGAGTTTATACATGTAAACCGCTGATTGACAACCTAATAATCTGAAAATTAGGTGTTTACCACGAGGTCTGAAGGACCCAGGGTTCTACCCCTGGTAAGGTTGTGTATGAACACTACTAGAGAGTCCCATGCTAGAAGAAAACATCTATCTTTTGCTTTCTGGTTTTCAACGGTTGCCAAACTAACGTCAATTCATAATGTAAATTTACAAACAATAACAGTGAAACTTCTGGATTACAAGTGTATAAAAAAAACCGATCAATACAAGGTGTTACAAAATCAGTAAATTAGCATAAACTATGTTCAGAAATTATTGACACCAGAAAATGCAATCTTACCGTCAAGTGTAATACAATCGAAATTTTTTGTTCGAGCCAATTGAGTTGCAATTTCAATACTACGACAAATTAATGTTTTTCCAAAAATATGCAACATTACACCACGAAATTTCTCATCGAAATTTAAACGAGAAATCATTGGAATTGCATCCTGAAATTGTTTGTTTGTTTGTTTTTAAAAATAAATAATGTCAACTATTATTCTGTATACTGTAAAATATTCTTGATGGAATTAATTAACTTATGGAAATCTAAATTTCGTTAGAAGTATGCTTCTTTACACAGACTGGCTTACTCTCTATCAGTATTATATTTAAGATTTTAGCCATAATGACAATAAGAAATATTTAGTATAGAAATCTACAATGCATAAAATTAAGTTAGTATGAATTTACACTACTAATAAGATGAAAATTATAAAAATACAAACGATAGGAAATAGACTGGAAAAACTACCCCCAAATGCCCTGGTACGGCCGAGGGTGGGGAGAGTCCACTCTGCCTCTAGAAATGCTCTCACTTGGCCACGTGTATACAACCACTGCCAAGAAAGTCCTACTCACTACCTTCTCGTGGTATTACTATTGTCTACAAAATTGAGAGGACAAAAAGCGAATGTCCGGCGCTTTAACTGGGTTGATTTATGTGGAGGATCCAACTAGGGAAGTTAAGAAACCCTGATTCCAAACCAATGGTGCACATGGGCTTCAGGATGGTAAGGGAGAAAATGGCGTATGAACCAAATATTGGTCACCATCTATCATGGGACTGCATCACCTGACATTTCCCCACTGCCTTGTTGATCAGACCTTTAGGTCGAAGGCTCCGGGTGTGGTCTCCTAAGAAAACCACCTGCCTCGGTTTGGGCACCCAGGCAGTATCATGGCCCTTATACAAATCGAATGATTTATGTGGCGCATAAGTATTCGGTGCCCTTTTGTACCAATATGTTGGGGTGATCCAGAAAAATTCTCGCGAAAGACAAGCAAGGATCAGGAAACACTAAGAAGCATTTCATCGAATCAGCTTTCACTTGAAGTTTTAGCCAGAAACATCGAGGAAGTGAAACGTCACATGTAGAAGTTCTGATTGGTTGATTGCTTTACTGCACTCCAGAATCTTCAAGCAACCCAAAGACATTTAAAATATTATAAAAACCCTATATTTTCTGTATTAAAATGAACGTTTGGAGTAAAGTACCTATCGCATACTTTGCACCTTCTCTCTCGTGTTCAGGTCGCTGTATAGTCCTAGCTTGGGGGTTACAGAATAGCTTAAGAAACGGATATAACGTTCAATTTGCAAGACTTATCACAATATTTCTGTGTTCAAATAAATGAATGAAGATACAAGATTTATGACCAAGAATGGAGAATCAGAGTAACGTTAGAAAATTTATTCCACACAATCACAAGCAGTCGCTCTCATTAGGTTCGGAGTAGAAATCAATAAGAGCAAAGGAAATTAAATATTTAGTAGCCAGTAAGTTTAGTGCTTGTTTGTCCAGACTCAGTGACAAATCGTATTTAATTTCACTATCACATATCATACCCATGATTTTTTCATTGGTAAATTTGATACGTTTTAATTTCTTTTAAAACTTTTTCTAATATCAATTGAAATGAATCGTTTTTTTTTCAAAATTCTGGTTAAAAAAAGTGGTTGATTTCACTGATTCGTAAAAACGAAAAGTCCCAAGTTTTAACCAAGTTAGTAGTTAGAAAATGAATTAAACAACTTGACAGATAAGAATACTTAACTTATGACAAACTTCGGCAATCACTTACTATAATGTAACGCATCAGAAACTTGAATAATTCTTAATCGTCATGTAAGTGTTTATCGCAATCAATTCGGTAGGTCATATACATTCTAGTCATCCTAGTTCTATTTATTCTCATTAACATTAAAAACTGGTTTTCAATGTTCAATTTCTTGCCACTACTCAATGTCGGTGGACTAATCATCATGAAACAAAAATAATTCACAAAATATTGACGTATTTTAACTACAACGTCTAAACTATCCCGTCAGTATATTCTAAAAATATTTTACATCCGATTAAGGGGGTATGGATTCTGCCCATATGCTATAAAAACAAAAATCAGCCTAGAAATAGACAAAACTTTGGAGCGGTTAACAAATTACATGTAATACTATCAACGGGTTTATTAATTACAAAACATCGTTTTAAACTTGTTTATTTTCTTATTATACTCTATACACTGACAACTGGTAGGAAGTAGTAATACATATATTACAGTATTTCTACGATCTATGCATTGTGATGCACAAATTGGCTTTCTGTAGTGAGCTACTCATCAATTTCAGTAAATGAGTTTAATCTCTTCTACTCGCAGTTGTTCTTAACCCTTTTTAGCTTTAACTCTTTGGTGTTCTCGTGTGTTTGAAATTTCATATTGGCTGATTAGCCTATTCTCAAAACAGGATAATTTATTTGTTCCCTCTAAAATCAATACCCTGCTAATCTTGGTGTTCCTGGTACATCTTGTAACTTTACTCATGTTCATTTACTTGAAATACCTGGAGAAATATTCATGAATCGGAATGTGATACTTCTTCATAATTCCACATTAAAGAGGATTAGATTAGAAAAAAAAAGCAGTAGTACTGTTGACATAATAACATTTAAGTAGAATGGTATAAATTACATATTCCATAGGATACCCCTGGAAATAAGAAGTACTGCAAATCTAGCACTGTATTATTTGACGATTAACAATGACAGGTGTGAAACGGTGGCATAACAGTTAGAACACTAAACAACTTTCAACGGTTAAGCAGTAGTTTCAAAAACTATATAGCATCAACCAGAATATGTCTAGGCTGCCTGAATAACATTATAGAAAAAGACAGGGAGAATTGAAAATACAAATAACCTACATTTGTCTCTGGATATGAAGATTCTTGTACACATAAGCGATTAATTGGAAGAAAATTAACTTCACCAGGAAGATTATGTTTATTAATTTCTGCAATCATACGAATAACCAATTTATCATTCTGTACAACATGATAAAATAGACGTGAACCAGCTGTAACTTCTACACTAGTATAAAATGTTTCTGGACAATCAATTAATTCTATCAATGTTCCATGATAACCTTGTACAATATCACAATCTGGGCCATAACGATCACGAAATATCTCAACAACCTACAAATAGTTAAGTAAGAATATATGAGTATGTGGTGTATTTTAAAAATAAATCCTGAAAGTCAGCAATAATAAAAATATTGACTGTACCGAGATATTTACAAATCACGAAGAATCGAAGTAAATATTTAAACATGTTGGAAAGTGTGAAAAATGATCTTAAAATATTGGTAACAGAAAAGTATTTGCACCAGCTACACAAAACCTTGAGTAACATTAATCTCCTCCCTGTCAATAACATTGAAAAAAACATCATACCAAGAACAATGCATTTTTAGAGGCTTTCCAATTTGGAACCGAACAACAATTAGAAGTAACATACAAAACCCCGTGATTTTAGCAAATATTGAGTATTTCAAACCTAAGCTTGCGTTACAAACCATGCAATAAAAAAATATGACAATTGCTCACTTTACGAACAGAATCCAAACCATTCAAAATTCCTTTGCCTGTAATCGATCGTAAATTATGTTCAGTACGGGCCAACTCATCACGTAAATTGTTCAGTTCGTGAGCTATTCTAGTTTCTTCTCGATAAACAGTTTGTCTGTCCGTTTGAATTTCATCTTTTTCACGACGAAGTCTACGTTGTTCCTCAGATACCTTAGAAGTGGAAAAAACGCAATACTGACATTTACCAGTTGTTAGTAAAAACGAAACATGAACGGAAAACAGAAGAGTGGATAGAGAAAAAAGTTGCTTAAAATTATCGTAAGACCAATTAACAACAACAAAATTAACCTTTTGAAAAGGGGGAAAATGTAGAACACAAAAACAATAAAGATATGCTTCTTTTGGTGTTGTTGAGCTCAACATGAATTAAGCACTGAGGATGTTGTCCAAAACAAAAACGAAAGCTCCACAATTAAACCATCCAACTCAGAGAACTCAACAACACCAAAAGCATTTACCTGAGCTGTAAAACTTCTCCATCATTTCAAAATATACTTGCATTTACAAATGATCAGATCTCCACACAAATAGCTTATAAAACTTATTTCATAAATTAATATTTTAGCTATTAAATTTATTCATAGTATCATTCTTTTGTTTTTACCATTGTCAAAAACAATCTATTTCATTAGTATCAGAAGCCTATTTTATTGTTTTACAACTTTAAACAACTTAGTAAAGATACAAAACAGCTTCATATTGATACATTTAATAAATAACAGTAGTAAAGATTGATTTTAATTAACTTACCGTTTCTAATTCTTTTCGAACACATGTCATATTTTCTTCAGCCACTTCTAAATCTTGTTGTAGTTTTTCTCGTCTTTCATCATCACGTTTAATTTCTTCTGTTAATTTATTTATAGTATTTTCTTTATCTTTTATAGCCTTTGATAAACTTTTCATTTGATCTTTAATCCATTCATCACGTTGACTACGAGATTGAAATTGATTGACTCTTCCTTGTTTAGCGAATAATTCCTTTCTAAAGGGGATATTATATAATAAACATATTTATAATGATGTAACTTGTTATCTATTTATACCAATTATGATATATTGAATAAGAAAAGAATATAATATAACAAATGAAAGTGAAACCTTATTGGATTTTCTTTGTAACATTTTTTTTGTAAATACGATATAAAATATGTATAATAAATATAATTTTGTTATATTTCAATGAGTAGAAAAGTTGTATATCCGACGTTTTGTGACTTGATGTAAGCCACTTCTTCAGCGTAAATAAATAACTGAAGAAAAAGGTTTACATTACGTCACGAAAGGTCAGAAATAAATTTTTCCTACTCATTGGGATATAACAAAAAATATATCTATTATTAACTCTCTATCCAATGCTCAATTTATTTGAAACTATCAGGTCTAACCTTGATATTGATACCTATAAAATATGTATATTTAGCTTCAATGATTGATATTATTATTATTATTATGTTGTGGTTGTAAACATCTCTGAAAAGAATTCATGAAATTAAGATGAATTCATATTATTCTCATACGAATGTTGTTTGTGTTTTGCAGAAATTGATATTGTTCAACATAACATACAACTCTATTTTTTACAATTTACTTTATATATTTGTAAATAAATAAATAAACAGAGAGGGGTTTTGTGGATATAATAGTAATTTAATGGTTGAATTATTGAGTCAACTGAAGCTAGGTCACCATGGATTCGTTGACGTTAGACATTAACACCGTTGAATGCCGGCTCAGTGGTCTAGAAATTAAGCGTTCGTGCGCGAGACCGATAGGTCCTGGGTTCGAATTTCACGGGGTTGGATCGTGGATGCGCACTGTCAAGAGTCCCAAACTAGGACGAAACGGCCGTCCAGTGCTCCCAGGTTTTTCATGGCGGTCTAGCTTCAATTGACTCATGAATTCAACTATTAAAATAAATAAGTATTTGCAAACTATTTTATTTTTAAATCATCATAAGTTAAGCAGAAAGTCTAAAATAACCTAAAAAAACAACTTCACATCTTAACCTAATCAAAACGTTATCATCAAATATCAAATAATTTGAACGAAGATTAAATTATACTTTCTGAGTTAGAGAGTTTGATAATCATGGTACTAACTAAATAAATTGTGATACTCTGATCATGAAAATTTTCAATAAAAGTAACTATACTGTACCGCAAGGGAGATTTCAATACCAAGGTTGGAACGGACAACACTGGATATGAAGACATCATGGGACGACACGGACTGGGAGAAAGGAACGAAAATGGTGAGAGATTTGCAAACCTATGTGCCTTCAATAAGCTGGTCATAGGCGGCACCATATTCCACATAAACGCATACACAAAACTGCATGGACTTCACCGGATCACACCACGCAAAACCAAATCGACCATATTTGCATCAACAAAACGTTCAGGAGGACTATGGAGGACGTGAGAACCAAGAGGGGAGCTGATATAGCCTCAGATCATCACTAGCTGGTCGCCAAGATGAAATTGAAACTCAAGAAGCACTGGACAATGGGGCGGACAATATCACAAAAGTTCAATACGGCCTTTCTTCAGGATACTAACAAACTCAACAAATTCAAGATAGACCTTAGCAACAAGTTCCAGGACTTTCATGATCTACTCAATGGAGAAGGAACTACTGTGGAGAGCAAATGGAAGAGGACCAAAAAAGGCAATCACTTCAACATGTCATGAGGTTCTGGGTCACAAGAAGCACCATCACAAGGAATGGGTCACTGTTGATACACTGGATAAGATTCAAGAAAGGAGGAACAAGAAGGAAGCAATCAATACCAGTCGAACAAGAGCAGAAAAAGCCAAGGCACAGGCTCAATACACAGAAGTAAACAAGCAAGTGAAGAGGAGCATAAGAACTGACAAACGTAAATATGTGGAAGACTTACCAATGACGGCGAAAAAGGCTGCAAGAGAAGGAAACATGAGACAACTGTATGACACGACAAAGAAACTCTCTGGAAATCGCCGCAAACCAGAACGACCAGTAAAAAGCAAGGAAGGCGAGGTAATCACCAGCATTGAAGAGCAACAAAACAGGTGGGTAGAACACTTCAAAGAACTCTTGAGTCGACCAGCCCCACTGAACCCACCCAATATCGAAGCAGCACCCATGGACCTCCCAATCAATGTTGGCCCACCAGCAATTGAAGAGATCAGCATGGCCATCAGGCACAGCAGCAGGACCAGACAACATTCCAGCAGAGGCATTAAAAGCAGACGTAGCGGCAACTGCAAGGATACTCCATATTCTCTTCAATAAGATTTGGGATGAGGAACAAGTACCAACAGACTGGAAAGAAGGACTTCTGATCAGAATACCGAAGAGAGGCGATCTCAGCAAGTGTGATATCTACAGGGGCATCACTCTTCTCTCAATACCGGGAAAAGTCTTCAACAGGGTATTGCTAAACAGGATGAAGGACTGCGTAGACGCACAACTTCGAAACCAACAGGCAGGATTCCGTAAGGATAGATCGTGTACAGACCAAATCGCAACACCACGGATCATTGTGGAACAATCAATTGAATGGAATTCATCACTCTACATCAACTTTATTGACTATGAGAAAGCGTTTGATAGCGTGGACAGAACAACATTATGGAAACTTCTTCGACACTACGGCGTGCCTCAGAAGATAGTCAATATCATAGAGTTCATATGATGGATTACACTGCAAAATCGTGCATGGAGGACAGTTGACAAAGTCGTTCGAAGTGAAGACCGGTGTTAGGCAAGGTTGCTTACTCTCACCCTTTCTCTTTATCCTGGTGATCGACTGGATCATGAAGACGTCAACATCTGAAGGGAAGCACGGGATACAATGGACATCTAGGATGCAGTTGGACGATCTCGACTTCGCAGATGATCTGGCCCTTCTATCCCAAACGCAACAACAAATGCAGGAGAAGACGAACAGTGTGGCAGCAGCCTCAGCAGCAGTATGTCTCAATATACACAAAGGGAAAAGCAGGATTCTCCGATACAATACAGCATGCACCAATTCAACCACAATTGACGGAGATTTGGAAGATGTAAAAACCTTTACATATTTCGGCAGCATCATTGATGAACAGGATGGATCTGATGCAGATGTGAAGGCGCGGATCGGCAAAGCAAGAGCAGCATATTTACAACTGAGGAACATCTGGAACTCAAAGCAACTGTCAACCAACACCAAGGTCAGGATTTTCAATACAAATGTCAAGACAGTTCTACTGTATGGGGCAGAAACCTGGAAAACTACAAAAACCATCATCCAGAAAATACAGGTGTTTATTAACAATTGTCTACGCAAAATACTTCAGATCCATTAGCCGGACACAATTAGAAACAACGTACTGTGGGAGAGAACAAACCAGATTGAAGCGGAGGAAGAAATCAGGAAGAAGCGCTGGAAGTGGATAGGACACACATTGAGGAAAGCACCCAACTGCGTCACAAGACAAGCCCTCACGTGGAATCCTGAGGGTCGAAGGAAAAGAGGAAGACCAAAGAACACATTACGCCGGGAAATGGAGACAGACATGAGAAAAATGAACAAGAATTGGATGGAACTAGAAAAGAAGGCTCAGGACAGAGTGGGTTGGAGAATTCTGGTCAGCGGCCTATGCTCCATTGGGAGTAATAGGCGTAAGTAAATAAGTAAAGTACCGCAAGGTTCGCATCGGTCAAATGTGTATGAAATTATGTTTACTCACCTACGATGTTCAGCATCACTAAGTGCGTTCGCTAATTCATCTTCAAACTGCTTAGCCTTTTTATACTGAGGTCGTAATTCAGCTAGCCGATGTTCAACTTGGTTTATTTGTTCTCTAACACGATTTAATTCTTCAGAAGCTCGCTCACGCGCAGATTTACCACCTCGAAGAGTTGCTGAATAATCAGCTATAGTGAGTTGAAGTTGCTCACGGCGTTGAAGAACATCACTTACAGATGCTTGGACTTGCTCGACTTCATCTTGCATCTGAGCTTCTTTCAATCTATTGTCTCTTAGATCCCTTTCTAGTTTCTAAAAAGAAAGAAATATAATCAATATATTCGATTATTATGAATGTATGTTAATAGCAATACTAACACAACACAGTAATTACATTCAAGTTTGACCTCTAGGTTTTGAACCACAGCTATTGGGTTGGCATTACAGATACCACTTAAATGCCATGATCAAAGTAGGAAGAGTGGAATTTAAGCCTGCAACATATAGGTCTGAAAACAAGTGCTATAGGTCGATAAACTGGAAAACATACATTGACTAACCACAGATCACATGTGATAAAGTAGCATTTATTTAATGAAGTTTTACTTATTAAATGTTATTTAGTAATAGCACTAATGATATACAGCATTTCACCTTAAAGACATACAAAACGAGTAATTGAAATGCTAACCACGAAATTATAATGAAGAATTTACGGAAGTGAAGTGAGTGACATCTACTTTCTTAGTCTTGGGTAGACTTCCAAACGAACAGATCACATTTAAGCGCTTGTATTGTAAAACAAAGAGTAGGCAGTGAAAGACTCATCAAGGAATATTAAGTGACAATAGAATATAAAGATGTCAGTCAGTCAGTCAGTCCCAACGTAGAACTTCGTACGTACGTACATCAGTTCGAGTTGCCACACCACATTAGCACAGATGCAGTGGTCGATTCAAATCCCGTAGCGCTAGATGTAGTAAGATTATAAGCTGTAATCAGAAAAATTAGGGTTTGGAGATGTTATTCAAGGACTATAATCCAGTGAAATAAATTTGGAAAGAGGAAAAAAGAAAGGAACATGAAGAAATCAGATTATAATTTGGGAGAACACAAAGAGTGGATGCACCTGCGCCATTGCAAACGATTTTGAGCCATGTCATTCAGGGTCTCTAACCATCGGTTGCTATCATCTCGCGGTCCCCAACCAGGTAGTCTACACCTACCAACATGACTCAATCCACTTGTCAGTGACTTCATGCACTTGTGCCATGTTTTGGTCTGGCCGCCCCTAGCTTTCATTCAACCTACTCCTACATCACTGAACATCGCACGTCGAGGCAGTCGGTCATTGGGCATACGTAACACGTGTCCAAGCCATCTCAACTGATGAAGTTTCACTACTTCATCAATGGATTTGCCATCCTTACCTAGTACCCGATCCCTAACAACTGTGTTACTTACTCGATGGTCCCACGATATACGAGCAATGTTTCGAAGACACCTATGATCGAATACTAGTAACCTACGAATATCCTCTACTCTTACCGGCCATGTTTCACTGCCATTAAGAAGGACGGGACGAACTGCTGCGCAGTAAACACGTCCTTTGGTTGATAGACGGATATCTCGCCTACGCCATAAATGACGCAAGTTGGCAAAAGCTAGTCGAGCCTTCCGTTTCCGTGCTGAGATTTCGTCACACACCAGACCACAAGGGCTGATGAGACTTCCAAGATAAGTGAAGCGGTCCACACACTCAACTACTTCACTCCCTATCACTAGTTCGGGTGTCGATGTAACCCAATCCTGAAGCAACATTTTGCATTTCGAGGGAGAGAATCGCATCCCGAACATGCTTGCATTGTTGCTTAGAGTGGTCAGAAGACTCTGCATTTTGTCAGTGTCTTCACCAAATAAAACTATGTCATCGTCATATTCTAAGTCAACAAGTGAACCTCCCGGTAGAAGTTCGACCCCTGGAAATCTAGACGAGAAGTGTTATATATATATATATATGTATATATAAAGATATATTCCAGAGAAAACAAAACGAATACTAGGTATAAGCAAATAACTATTTTATGAATATAGATTGTGAATAAGTGTGTCTTTAGAAGCAAACCTAGGGATAATTGATTACTTCGACTCAATGATTAGTTTCTTAACAGAGGTTCTTGGGGATAGCTAAATCTCTACTTTATACTACAAACTAACTTCATTTGAATAATCACTCAAAACTATGAAGCAGTCGAAAACTGTTTCTTTTTAATGTACGACTCCACAGAAACGCCCAACTATAATAAAACAAAACAAATATACGATCTTGCCTAGTTTTCAATATTTACCTAGGTAAACTCAGTCCACGATGTAAAACTGGAAATTAATTCCTTACCAGAAATTCCCTCCTGATATCTTTTCCTTCTTTCACTTCTAAATTAATGTCCATAGATATTTTAAATCTACCTACCAGGAGATTTTAACCCGACAGAATATGGCGCAGAAACAGGTGTTATAACATATCGAACCTAGCACATACCCCAATTATTTTGTTCGATGTATAATCGCACTGAAGTAATCACATTTTCTCACTAGAATTTAATGTCTAATCTGAGACAGACTACTCAATGCAAAACCTATCAATGCATGAAAATAATTTAAGACAAACACTAAGAAAAAGACTAATGGTACAGCTTCAATTTTTTTAAATTTTAGTCGATCAAGACATGAATACATATTATTTCATGTTTTGATTATTGCCTGATGAGTAGACGTATCGGATAAGTAAGAGTATCCTTTTCTAAACACTTTAAAATAAGAGAAATTTGGCTGGTTAACTACAAATCGGTTAGTACATGCTTGTCTAAAGAATAAATTAAAATAAATAACATTAATTTATATTAAGGACAGAATATAAAACGCCATCTACCTCTATAGCATCTGCACAGTCTTTGGCAGCTCGCCGAATTTCAGCTGTACTTTCACTGCTTTGTTCTCGACGAGTTTGTATTTCTTCTAATTTTTTTCGAGTCTCTTTCAACTCTCTATCGTATATGGTAAATTCCAACGCACGTCTGTCTCTATCCCAATGTTGATATTCTTTTAATTCTTTTGTTTCGTTTTCAAGGGTTCGTAATCGATCTTCGATGCTGTTTAAGAGTTCAGATATCTGTTCTCGTTTGGCTTCTATCGAGGGAAAACGATTTGTACTTTACTGGTAATTAATTTTAATACGGAATATTTAATTTAAAAAATATAAAATTAGGCAAGAAAATGTGTTTGAAATTAATTCTTTATAATGATTAAATATTGATTGAAATTGCGCTATTTCGAAGCTGACCTTATGTAGTCCTTTTTATTAGTGAGAAAGCAATATCGTTATGTTAATCTATGAATAACGTTATACTCCCATAATAGTGATATGGTTAGTAATACACTAATACATTTGAATAGAAAATTGGCACTTTTCGGACTCACTGTATTTCCTAACGTTGCTCCACTGCCTTGTGGATTAGACCTTCAGGTCAAAAGTCCGGAGTACGATCCCCTTAGAAAATCACCTGCTTCAGTTTGGGCACCCGAGCAGTATTACAGCTCTCATACAAACCAAATAATGATTACTACTGGAAGAAGCATTCTTCCTTCAACTCGCATTCAGACAAATCCCACTCACAATCATTTGATAACATTCGCGTTTACTTCTTTCATACTTCATTTACGTATTCTTCATTATTCTCACTTTGTGTAATCTTATTTTTCAACTTACACAGCAGCTCGCCTATGGTGGAAACCTTGTCCTATCTAAACGATCTCGAGTCAGTGACCGGTCGAAAGTTGAATGCTACCGCCGAATATGAATACTGAAACAGTCTTTTTGATACCACATATACCATTCAAACTGGTTTCCTTCAATGTTCGCACACTAATGTAAGTCGGACAAAAATAGGATTGGCTAGTCTTTAGAAAGTCTTAATATCGAGTTCCGTTGTCTATCTGAGAGCCGTATTCAAAACTCTAGTGAAATACTACAAATTCGATCACCATTTGTCGCTTCGGAAAGATTGTTTCACGTGCGTTTATCCGGGAACCCTGTGCCATCTTCGTTTGGTTTTGCTGGCGTCGGTGCCATGCTAGGCGCTAGAGCCGAGATAGCACTGATCGATTGGATCCCTATTAACAGTCGGTTATGTGCTGTTAGGTTAGAACGTTCCATCAAAGTGCGAAGAAATTTGTGTGAGAAACGACATCTTTTCGTCATCTTCGCCTATGCTTTGACGGATTGCAGCCCAAATGCGATCAAGGATGAGTTTTACCACCATTTAACTTTTTCTACAGAGAGCGCGTTAGACAGATACTGTATTACTAGCCGGAGTTTTGAACGCTCATGTCACATTGCGATCAGCTAAAGCTGGCGTGGTTGTGTACAAGACTTCCGCTCCTTTTAGAGTACTTATCTGGACTCTGATCATGACCTTGTTTACGCTAATCTTACCTTACGTTTCAGTGGCTGACAAATTCGTTGTTCTAAACTGATCGATGTCAGCAAATTGCTTACAGTTTCTGCTGCAAATAGGTATCAAACCGAGCTATGTTCAAGGCTAGCTACCATTCCACCGAAAAGTATAGATCAGCATTGGTTGCAATTGAATGAAGTCACGAAAATGGTGAGTAAAGTCGCTTGCGGCTTCACGAAAAGTCCCACTTATAAGCTCTGGGTAAGTGACTTGAGATGATTTAAATAAGACAGGGTTTCCACCATAGGCGAGCTGCTGTGTAAGTTGAAAAATAAGAATACACAAAGTGAGAATAAAGGGGAATACATAAATGACGTAGTGCGAAACAAGTAAAAGCGAATGTTGGTTCGAAATTAAAATGGTACTTGAAAGCGCAAGTGACCAAACTTTACGTTGAAGTAATCAAGTATTTGATTTCTTGTCGCACTTACGAAGTGATCAACATATGGCTTATCGAAACAAGCAAAAATTACTGATTTTACTGAAAGATCTTCGAAATCAAACTATAAAAAGAGCTTAACTGCTATGTCTACCTGACTCTTTAAATATTTGTTTGCTTTCCTCCTTCCGTTCATCATAGACTCTGGTTCCCGCAACCTCTCTCAACAGTTTCAGTCTCTGGTGATCAGGTGCAGTAGCCAACTGAGTAATCTGAAAAACAAATATGCAGTCAAACACAAAACTTACGTCGAAAGCTAAAAATTAGGACTTGAAGTTTTAATACTAATGAGTTTAAATGTTTGCAAGCTTGAAAGTGCATTACGAAACAAAAGTATTAGCCACTGAGCTTAAATTTGTATATGAACTACTTGGATCTTATTGACATCTCCAGCGGAAAAAAATAAAGTATTATTAGTAGGAAAATATATGAAGCATTAACGAATTAGTATGAAATAAAAAGTCGAGCAATTGTATCAAAGAGTTTAACTGTCTTTCACTACTTGGGATAGCTAAATGTTTCCTTAGAACAGAGCTAAGTCTTGATGGATAGTGGCTAGCAGTGGAATCCAGGACGCGCGTTTCGTCCCATTTCGGACTCGTCAGCTGGATGTACCTGCGTCTCAGAGTTGATGTTCACTATTGGACTCGAACCCAGTACTATTCGCTTCAAACGCCATCGTGTTATCCACTCGGCTACTGAGTCATGATAGCCACTTGCTTGTGCAATGGGGTGAATTTAAATTCACTTGGTATTTTTTGGTTTGTATCTTCCCATTGAGGTGTACAAAAAGCTTGTGAATTAAGGCAATATCGAGGCATACGCACAGTATGCACATATGCCAATAACAGACTGATCAATTTCAGTCTTTAACCTCAATGGGAAGAAACAAGACAAACAATACCAAGTGAATAGCTAAGTCTTGTTTACATTTTTATTTTAACTGTTTAGAGATTTGTATCCCATACTCTTGGTATATCCATCATACCCATTATACGAATTCACCTTGACCAAGAACAACTTGACATTGACATATTCAGACCTATTATGATCTTGATTGTACTAGTCAGTCGGTCAGCTACAACGTAGGACCAGGCATATATATGCATCGGTCCAAGTTGCCAAACCTCATTAACACAACAAGATGAACACCGGATTCATAAAAGTAGTTAATTCAGAGATGATAATATATAAAAGAAAGATTGTGCATAAGGATATAGTACAGGAAGAAAGAATTAGTTCGTAGAAAGAAAGATATGAAGCGATTTTAATCTCTTAGTTTAAGGGAAGACAGAGAGTGTATACACCGACGCCATTGTGATCGATTCTGAGCCATGTCACCAAGAGTCTCCAACCACTGGTTACGATAGTCACGCGGACCCCAACCAGGTAGCCTGCATCTACCAACATGGCTCAGACTAGAATTTAGTGACTTCAAGCACTGATGACACGTTTTGGTTTGGCCACCCCTAACTTTCAACCATCTCAACAAGTACGGAGCTAACACAAAAATTACTCATAAAAAGATAGTGTGTGGCTGACTTCAAGCAGTTGTCCCTTGGGTACTGCGGTCACGCAGGTGCCTCCAGAAGAACCGTTCCACGGTGTGGGCAACCGGGAAGTGATAACCGCTCTCATACCTCTAACAGCACTCAAGACCACTGTATTCATAATCAACCTCCCTTTTCAATTCCCATTTTGATTGTACTAAAAATTAACTGTATTGTTTCTTTTGTACTATTTAAGCTTGTGATAACTTAATTCGGTTATTTATTTACTCTTAAGAAGAGGCTTACAGTAAGTCACGAAACGTCAGAAATACAATTTTTCTACTCATTGGGATATATAACAAAAATATATTTATTATTAACTATCTATCTCCTGCTCAATTTATTGGGAACTAAGTTCAACCTTGGTATTGATACTCAGATAGATACGTTTTGCAAACACTCGAAACTTATCATAACTCTTTCAAGATGCTGTACCTAGCAACATTATAGGGTCAACAGAAATCGAAAGTAATTAATTAATGAGTAAATTATACGTAATCTTAAAAATCGCCATTATACGAGAGAATACGACTTCGCGGTTACATAAAATTGGCCTGTTAAGACATTTCATTTTCTACAATTGACAGATTGAAGAATATGGTTTTTGGTAGTTTAATGATGAACTACCGATGTATCAACCCTATTTCTTCACAATTAATTAACCACTTGAAGATTATGGCAAACAACAATCTCCAATTAGAAATCTACGGTACCATATCAACAAAATGCGACTCAATCTGATTGTCTTAAAAATTGATATGATGTGTGCCTACCTTTATTTAAATCTTACCATTTGTCGTGAGATCGAATGTTTAAGGGGTAGGCAATTTAGATGACATCCACACATCACTAGGAAATCAACTTAGTTTTAGAAAGTTAGTCATAATATTAAATCTTAGAAAGACAGAATCATTAAGAAGGTAAACATACGAATCATATATCTATACTAAAGTTGGAACCAAAATACGACAATGCTCATGGCTTCATATCGAATTTCAAATTTGATGTGTTAGCACTAATATATGCTAGCCTCTGAAATCAGGGCAAATTAAATATATTTTAAAGTGCTCCCATCATGATATACTTGATCAGTTTTTGTGTAAGTGGTCGATTAAATATCACTCGGAGTATTTATTTATTTATTTGAATACATAAATATTGGTACAAGAAAGGGACCATATATATATTCGGAGTAAAGAGATCTAGACTGACATCCGCCGATATGACCTACCTGTAATTACGCGGGGGCATCTAAATCCAAACTAAGAATTAGGTAAAGGATGTAGTAAAGTGCTAATGCCGTGATAACTAGTATTTTATAGGCCGTAATTCGACTACACATTAGTCGGTCAGGTGATGTTAGTTATAAGCCAAGGACTTAGGTCAGAAAGGCCAGTAGATATGTAGAATTCGAGCCTCTTCATAGCAGTCCACATGGGTAGCAAGTCGAACTGATACATAGTAACACGCAAAATTATGAAATGTAACCATTTTCCAAATGTGCTTAGGACATGATAGTTAAATAAGTATGTATAAGTACTTCATGAGGTAAGTGGAGAGGCTGGAAACCCACTTTAGGCAACTAAGATATGAAAAAACCACTAACCTTTCCTTGTTTAACGATGTAGTACGGATTACTACGAGAAAACCCAGCGCTTTCCAACATATTCATAACATCAGCTTTTCTAAAATCAGGAAAAGTAAGATGAGAGCACCAAGCTTACGTGACCATTTTCTTGTCGAGAAAATACTGATCCTTCTTGCTACCAATTATTCTCCGTAAAGAGACTTCATTTTTATCGAACTAAACATTAAGTTGTTAGGACAAGTCCTTACAGGAATCCGATTATCAGAGTTGTCAAATATCATTTCCACGTAAGCCGAAATAACGCGTGGGCCTGTGCCTTCGTGAAGAAGGTTTTGTCTTTCTTGGTTACTCAGGTGACTGTATTCATCTGAAAGAACAAATTGTATAGCCTGGAAGAAATTCGATTTTCCAGAACCATTGCGCCCAACTATCGGTATTATCGATGTCAAACAGATCATACCTATTATGTTATGATGCGGGCTGAACTCTTCTGGGCATGTTTGATCTCTATAGCTGCGAAAACCTTGTATGATGACTTTCTTTATGTACATTATGTACAAAGCAAACCTAGGTAGCGCAGAAGTAACAGGACCCGCCAGAACCCTTAACACCAAATGGTTCAAATGGTTGTGGACGGAATAGAAGAAGCTCTCGCTCAACAGACTTCCGTGTCTAGTAGCAGGGGATCATCAAATCCTACAGGCAGGAACCTAGGTATGTTAACAATAAAAGAGGAAAGAAATTAGTAAATCATAGTGTGATACTATCCTTAGTCCTTAAGAATAGGTCAAGTTGCCTCTTGAAGGACTCCTGAGAAGTCGCTTGGACTAGCTCGGCCGGCAGCGAATTCCAGCTTTTGACAACTCTTAAGGAGTAGAAGTTGTGTCTACATTCCGTCTTGCTATGTTGTGTATCCAGTTTCTGGGTGTTCCCCTTTAGGTTATTATTCGAACTAAGCTTAAGTAGGTGTTTAAGAGGATGTCCAGAAGTGTTAAGAATACTATAAGCCATTAATAAATCACCTCTAAGACGCCTATATTCTAGTGGGTAAAGGTCTAGTGAACAGAGGCGTTCTTCGTAAGGCTTAGATTTGAGTCCTCGAACTGATTTCGTGGCTCGCCGTTGGATACGCTCCAAAGTGACCTTGTCCTTTTGGAGTGAGGGAGGAGTACTACGTTTCCGTACTCTAAATGGGGACGGATGAAACTGTTGAAGATTGTATGGAAAGTTCGTTCGTCAAACTGTCCAAAAATGCGCTTCAACGTTACCAGTGCAAGGTTTGCTCGGAAGGCATTTTTGTCACAGTTAGCGTAAGACTCCAAATCATAGGGCATCAGGACTCCTAAATCTTTTTCGACTTGGGATACTACTAGAGAGGAGTTTCCTAAGTTGTAACTGTAGTTTGCGACATGTCGCAGATGGACTACTTTACACTTTGAAGTGTTAAAGGTAAGTCCGTTATCGTCTGCCCAACTTTGAAGTCGAGGCAGATCCTTGTAGTCTGATTGGGGTTACCAATTGTAGCGTGGCGTCTAGTCGAGATTAACTATGAACACCGCTACAAAGAAACACGTGCCAGATAAATCGGAAGGCGTAAGAAGCTCGCTCCAAATGACTCCATAAAATCCCCGAGAAGCCGAATACCAGAAGGCAATTAATGGACCAAGTCGATGTTTATTTGCTGGCGATCTCGTGGCATCGAAAGGATACCGAGATCGTGCCAGGATACAACCTTGGTTACAGAAGGTAACCGAATTCGCGCGAAGTTACAATCAAAGTGTAAGTAAGTGAATGGAAGCCCAAAATAGCTGTCATTAGCACAGTCAAACAAAAGCACGTTAAAACAAACACTGGTACAGTTGGTTATAATAATAATTGTTTTTATTAAACCAGTCGTGTTCTCGTGATAAACGTGAGTCACTACATCCTCCTGAAGTGCCTGTATATTGTCTTGGTTGCGTATCTCTCTCCAGAACTAGTATGCCCCTCAACTTTACTTACGTTTTATTTAGATGGAGCATCTATTGTTCTTCTTGTCTGTAACACCTATGAAGCAGTATTTCTATTAATGTTTACTTTAACAACTAAATCAACATGATTTCAGTCACCGATAATCAATAAAGTAGGTCGTTTGGTAATCCTATCGATATGTTTTCCAGAAGAGACTGGATGATTTTAATAAATCTTTCCTGTCAAAGCTGGTAAAAAATGTTATCTCCAGATTTTGGAAACTTGAATAAGCAGACGGAATCCCGTTATGAGTTTATTCGGTCGCTGTTTTAAGGCCAGAAAAATATCGATGGACCTTAGTTAAACCGTCCATCAAGCCGATTCATTTCCGTGTTAGATAATAGACCACCGAGAGTAAGGGGTTCTTACCATTCCCCTTAAACATGGGTTTGTCTTACCTTCTAATCGAGCTCATGAAACTGTGGCTGAATATACTCCCTCTTTCCATCTCTGTAATTTATTATGTTATACTCTCAGAGTTTTGTTTCTCATGATTTGTGTTTTTGTTGCAATCGCTAGTGCTTTTGTCTGCCTGAGTAAGATTAATGATGCCACATCTACACAATGTTGTTTTTTTTGTAACGTAGAATAATTTATCGTTTTTTCATGGTAGGATAATTGTAAGTTGAACGTGCTTTAGATTCCCAAATTCTCATTATGAAGAGTTGAGTAATCATATTACAAAGATGTACATGCCTTTACTGATGGCCACCATGTTACTGCTATTTTCAGTGTTGGATCATGTAGTAAGGCTTGCTACTTCTATTTGGGTGGTTGACCTCGTTTAATTTCTCCATATGCCGGATAGGTTCTGAGATCACTTTAGTTCTTGAATGTAACATATGATGAGTATGCATCACTTGGGAACTACGGTCCCTTTGACATCCATTATATTTGTGCATCGCAGTAAATAAACACCCAAAATAAGTGGTCTTCAACACTGATGCTGGCCTCATTAGTTTTGCTGGAAACGCGCTAGCGGAAGACACTCATTCATGCATCTCCACCAGATCGTGAGTGGATATGTCATGATGCACATCTCATTGAACTACTAACCAACTTCAATCAGGTTCTTCTCAACATATCAGCAAATTTCTAAATGTATCTTCAGACTCATCCATCCTTGGTTTCTGGTCTGACTGGTTTGGTGTCGTTTGATTATGAAGGTGTCACGACAAAAGCGTTGTTAAACCTGAATATCCGCGACGTCTTTACGTGTCACGAATTGTATTGAAACGATTATCAAACAACTGGTCGACGTTATGATTATCTCATCCTATGGGATAGCCTGGAATTTTTACCTAAGTAATTAAGATAGTTTACCGTTGAAATACTTTATGTCATTCCATAAGCCTGTAAACCTTCATATGAATCAAGAGCGATTGCTCTGCTTCTTCTATAATCATATCACAGGGTACAACGTGGCTGTTACTTTTAAATTACTTGATTTCTGGCTTGGTTGTTTTGCACTTCAGTACGACACTTCAAAATTATATACAGAAAAACTGCAACTTCGCTGAGTATTACATCGAGCTGTCAACGACTGGAGCCAACCGACTAAAACTCTTCCTTTAAATTTATCTAAAAGGAAAGAGGAGAAGTCACATTAAAAACTAATAATCTCGTCACCATAAAAATCAGAAAAACTATATTGTCCAATTACAAAAAACCTGTTCATATCTTCAACTATCCTCAAAATGATACGCTGGAAAGAGAAATTGTACTGTCTCACTTCCAAACCTTCCTTTCGCTACATACATAGACCAGTCGCTCGTGTATTATTAGTTGTATTTATGATTTCGATTCGACATACCCATATTGCAGTTCGGAAATAATAATTTGGTTAGAAGGATTCACATAGATTACCAGAGGATAGATGAACCTGAGAACTTGCTTAACAGACCCCTTGAATTAGGGCAAATGTTCTTGTTTATGAGCTAAACATTAGATATATATACTTTCTAAAAGGCAAATTAAAAATACGGTGTATCACCAACGACTGCACGCAAACCCATCAATATGAAGTACATTAAATAATCTATAATGTGGCTCTATTAGGCCATACGGTTCACAAAGTTGTCCAACAAGATTAAACAATTCAATCCACAATATAATAAGTGGGTGAGCAAATGATACGAAACCACTAACAGTCAGGGGAAAACTATGTCCTCCTTATGTTCGGGGAACAAAATTCTATCCTTTTTGAACGTACTGAATGATCAGTTTTTAGAGCAGCATCCAAACCAGGGAGGAAAACGTGGCACACACCAAGTTAGTAGGCAAGTGGGAACAAATAAAACTAGACTGTAAACCATACAAATTAGCAGAAAACCGTGAAAATTACATTGTAATCGGATTAAATAATAACAGTCCCAGCACAGAACCTAAAATCTAACAGGTGATGAAAATGAAAGGGTCAAGGGACAACGTTACGTTTTAGAGTAAGGCAAGGAATAATCGTCACAAAAGTGCATGCAAAGACAGATTTTACAAACAAGCACACATATACGTACAAATGACGTACAAAACTATGCTCATAAGGATTCTGTAGCACCCTTTATCGGACCACCATTCGCTTCAGCAGCCAATACTGAAATCGCTGAATATAATTTTTTTGTTTCAATACAGTAGGCGGAAGCGTCTTCTTAGTTTCATCACAATAAATTACACCCCCATTCATATGTGACGATAAGTTGTCCCAGTCGGTATGCCTACGGTCAACGTTAGAGAGTGGGCGACAAATTATCTTACCTGTAGCTTCCAAACAAATGAAGTTCGGAATAACTGTTTAGGCTAGTTTAGATACTTGTGTTCAGTCAAAATTTAGAAGAAAATTGTTGGGTGAAAGATGGTTCCTAATTTCGTCACAATTTTAAGTGTACATTATTGCCTAAATAAGTATCATCATTATGTTACTCAACCAATAATTGTTCGATGAATGGTCAAATCTAAGCGGAAATGTTTATCACGGACAATTAAGTGTATGAAGATCCTAAACTTATTGCGAAACTATCTAATGAACATTTTTGTGCCTCCTAAACGAAAAATCACTACTTGAATCAGAGCTCCGTCGAGTGCTTTCCTGTGAAGGCACTAATGTAGAATTCAATGTAAAGAATATTTCTTAGGCAATTAGCTCAATGAAATGCTCTTATACTAAAGGATCCGATGATATTCCAACTAGTATGCATAAAAGTGCAAGTAGTGATCTGTGTGCTATACTTCTTAAACTATTTGCGACATCACTCTCCACATGTTATCTCACTTCCTGGAAAACTGCGCATATCATTCCCAAAACCAAGATAGGAACTGAATCAAATTTTGGAAATCACCAACCGGTAAGCGTTACCTCAGTGATACAGTAGTGGTATTGGTCCTATCTACATAATCCTCAAAGCTGGACATGAGATAACTGGGAAAATATATATTCAACATTTGACACAAAGAGAAAGCCAACAATGGTGCAGGCGGCAACATCTAGATCAATTGAATTCAATAAGATGGCATGGCTCAGCCTTTCAGACGTGGTCATTCTGTATAACTTGTCTTAATTCATATCAAATATATCATTCCATCTTTAGCTTAAATGTGTTCTCCACAAACGCCAAACGTTATATCTCGGATTGTTACGATTCGACAGGTCAGAATAGACAGTGTTGTTACTTCCACGTAAGATCTTATAGAATAAACAGTTACATCGTGACATATCCACAATCTTTGGATTAGGTCTATTATTATACTAGTATCAATACCGAAGCAGGCCATAATTCTACATACTTATTACATTCCTGTCAGAAGTAAATTACTGAATGGTATGAGATTTAAATTCGTGTTTGTGGTGTTTTAGTGCATATTCCGTCATAAGCGTAAACCAAAAAGGCTCAACAGTGAATCAAAAGCCGTGAAACTCCAAGTAATAATAATAATAATTTATTCTCAAATAACAGTTTGTTACATGAGGCATGCCAGTTTACAGGCAAGATCAAATTGATACAAATGATACAATATCCACTGTAGTAAATTACATAGCTGGGTTGATAATTTATAAGATATGAATGAAGATGGTTTTAATCAGTACCACAGTTGGCGCTCTTCATGAAAGTCGCGTTGCAAATGTGCAACTGATGGTCAAGGATAGGTCCATTGAAGGTGGGAGCTTTTGAATGTCGCAATCTTATGTTCCTTTGGAATTTCTAAGGCTTTGAGGATGGTGCAGGATGAAATCTTTCGTTCCATATCACAAGGGGGCTGAAAGATGGAGCAAGTAAAAGAAAGGACGAGAGGCAGAGTAGCCAATATTCATGAACGAATGTTTAAGGAATGATTACTCAGTCTAATTTTCTTTTATTAAAGTATTTGTTAAGAAAGAGCATTTTAATAGGTTAAAGAAAATAAGTGTAAACAAGGTATGAGTGGACATACAACTGACAAATGGAGGCGGTTCGGAAAGGAGGTGAGAGTATGGGATTATGTGTGGTTATAAAATAAAATATAATGCTAGAAACAGTATTGTGATATACAATTGGCTATCTTCCTTTTATTATCGAAGCTATGAGAGCCCCTTTTGTTTTTTTGCATTTTTTTCAGGTATTATAGGGTCTTGAGTAGACTTCGTATATTAGCGAATTGTCTGGTTTGCTTGTAATAGGATTTCTGGGTAGGAAGTGAAACCAATTCAACGTTCGTACCACGATTTAAAGAGGTATTTTGCGTGATAAATCAGCATCAATACCATAAGTTCGTGACATCCCACTAAACCATAAGGAGCCGTAATTAAAC